AATCATGACCTTCGATCATAACAACTCTGACGATATGACTTTTCCATTTCATTTTTTGCAACAAAAGCCATATAATTATAGCTTATAATTATAAGTAAAGTAACTTGTTGAAGAATATTTTGATTGTGATCAATTTTGTTATCATCATCTATGCATTTCCTTTGAGTTATTTTCCCCAAAGTAGGGTAGTTTCAAATCTTATTTTCCAAACTAGGGTACTTTTAAACTTATTTCTTAAATATGAGTGTTTTTTGCCTTGTCATCAGACTGAATGTGCCATGTCAGCAACACCCGATTAATTCTCACTCACTTGCCACATCACTATCCATGTCATCCCATTCACGTGTGAATGTAACATATAAAAGAAATTGGGCTACTGGGAGTCGAACCCAAGCCATTTCAATTAAAATTCACACTAACGCCACTATGCTACAAACAATAATTATCACCTAGTCTTCTTTAAAGCTTTATAAAATGCAAACTCTCACGTTCATTTAAAACTATGTTGCCTTCATTCACTTTAATTGTTTTAACACTTCTCAAAAGCTGGGAGAGAAGTCCTATTGAAAACGGTTATCCAAGCCATGCCTACGTATGCTATGAATGTGTTTTTATTCCCTGATAATTTGATCATGGAGATTGAGAGACTCATGAACGGGTATTGGTGGAGGGGAAATGATTTAACAGGTAGGGGCATTCGGTGGAGGAATTGGAGGGCATTGTGTCTTCCAAAAACTTGTGGAGGGCTTGGTTTTAAGAGGCTAAAGGAATACAATATCGCTATGTTAGGAAAACTGGGGTGGAAACTTTTAACGGAGCCAAAAGCTTTGATTAGTCGGGTCCTCGCGGCCAAGTATTATCCTAAGAATAGCTTTGTTGAAGCTAAATTAGGATATAATCCTTCATTTGTTTGGCGTAGCATCTTAGCAGCCCAAGAAGTTGTGGTAGCAGGTTCCCGACGCCGGGTTGGGAACGGTAAGGAAATATCAGTGTGGAGGGATGCTTGGCTTCCGGGGAAGGGCACGGGCAAAATTCTTTCAGCCCGACCAAGAGGTATTCTAGATATGAATGTTGCGTCTCTGCTTTTAGAAGATGGAAAAAACTGGAATGTGCAGCGTATTAATAGTATATTTTCTGAGGAGGAAGCTCGTGCAATTCAGAGCATTCCTTTAAGTATTAATCAGGTTGATGATGGGTACCGTTGGAATGATGAGGCCAAAGGAAATTTTTCGGTCCGTAGCTGCTACAGGAGACTTGTGGGCGAGTTCCAGGCAACAAAATGGATCGGGTGGACCGTAGCTTGGAAATTTCGCATTCCACCTAAAGTGAAATTATTTTTTTGGCAGCTTGCTAACGGTTTGCTACCTACAGGCGATGTTATGAGAGCTAGACAGGTGCAGGTATTGGGAGTTTGTCCCGTCTGCAAGTTGGAGAATGAAACAGCAACTCATTTGTTTTTAGAGTGTGCGGCAGTGCGGGAGACTTGGCAGAAGGCAAGTCTGGCAGATTCGTTGAGGGAACTTTCATTTGAGGAATGGCTTCAGTTCGTGTTTAACAAGTTAGGGGAGGAGGATCTCTCCAGGCTTATCATGCTTATGTGGAGTGTCTGGAAAGCTAGGAACGCAGCTGTGTGGAAGGCAGAAGCGTTTTCTCCAGGAGTTGTGTACCGAGTGGCAGAATCCATGCTAACAAGCTGGAGAGCAGCCCGGAAAGATGACAATCAAGCAATGAGGGCGAATCCGACCATATCCAAATGGAAGAAACCTGAGATTAATTGTGTTAAAATTAATGTTGATGCAGCCAATGATTCCAGGTTTAGGCGTTGGGCTTGGGGATGGGTATGTAGAGACAATGAAGGCAATTTTATTAAAGCTCGCAGCAGGTGTGCTACAGCTTCATGGTCTCCGGTGGAAGCAGAAGCTCTGGGTGTCCGAGAGGCTATTTTTTGGGCGAGAGATAACGAGTGGGGTCATGTAACTGTTGAAACAGATGCAGCATTAGTGGTGTCGGGGATTGAAGGGGATCGAGATGCATCTCAAGTTGGTCTGATTTTTGATGATATAAAATCTCTTTTGAGTGATAATGTTAATCTAAAAATCAAGTGGTGTGGAAGATCAGCGAATCAAGTAGCTCATGCTATCGCAAGAGTTGCTGTTTCTAAGTCTGATTGTGTTTCTAGCTTTTCTAGTCCACCTTCATTTATTGTAAGCCGATTGGCGCACGATTTATTAATATAATTTTTGGCATTTTTTCAAAAAAAAAAAAAACACTTCTCATTTAAAATCAATCAAACCACATGAATATAAGATCATTTATCTTTAATATATTATTGTCTATTTAGTCATTTTATAATTTTAAAAAACATTTGAATAGGGCTTTTAGTATAACGATATACCAGTATACCTTTTATTTTCAAATCATATACCAATATCATACATAAACAATTCAATATAGTACCATACCATACCGAAAATGCCGGTATACCTTTTGTTTCGATACGGTATACCGAAATTCCAGTACTTTTTTCCACCCTGTTTGGGGTATTTTTTTTAATAATTCATTTAACCGATTTCCCTTTTAGAAAATTTTAATATTTTTATGATCTAACAATTGGAAGTAATAGTTGATACTAACAAATAAAACATTGAACTGTAAACATCATTTTCAGTCAATAATAAAGTTGTCCATACGGGATTCCCGTCAGGCCGCCCTATATATAACAAGAAAATTATATCATAGTGAAATTAAAAAAACATAGTATCTATGCGTGCAGATTTTGTACATATATATAAACATATTTTTAGTATATGTTAGAATATTCAAAATCGTATTATATTCTACTCCCTCCGTCCCATAATGGTTGTCCACTTTCAATTTGGCACGATTATTAATAAAGTGGTTGAAAAGTAAAAGTTGTGGTTGAGATTTGAGTAGAATAAAGTGAATTAATAAGAACCACATATTTCATGCCAAAAAGGGAAACAAGACATTCATTTTGGGACAACCCAAAAAGGAAAGTAGGACAACCAAAATGGGACGGGGGAGTATCTTAAAGGGAAAAGCTAAAAACTATATGTTGAATCAACGTAGTGCATAATATCCAATTGCGTTGGTAGACTGGTTGGTGGCCTAAAAGTAAACGAAGAGAGCTTGTGTTCAGGGGCGGAGCCAGAACAGTGGGCCAGACTGGGCCGGTACAAAGAATATTTTTGGGAAAAAATTTACACGGAATTTTTTACACTAAAAATATAGACATTTTTAAAATTTGGGCTGGGCCAGGGCTAGGGGTGGCCACCCCCTAGCTACGCCCCTGCTTGTGTTCGATGGCATGTGAGTGACGTGGAAAAAGAATTAATCAGATTGCTAACATGGCACGTCCACCCGATGACAAGGCAAAAAACACCCCTATTTGGGAAATACGTTAAAAAGTACCCTAGTTTGGGAAATGATTCGAAAGTAGGCGTGCAGGGCCGTCTTTAGAAATTTTGATGCCCCAGACAAAGAATGAATCAACATAGCACTTAAAATATGTAACACAATTTTACAAGAAAAATACTACATAGTACTGAGTTTTAAAGGAAATTTGCAATTTTTGTCATGTAACTTTTGATCGTTTTCATTATTAGTCTCGTAACTTTAGCCACTTGTAAATTTGGTCCTGTAACTAATTAATATTTGCGATTTAATGTCTTTTTTCCTTAAAAGTACACTTTCTGGTGATAATATACTAAAAAAGATGTCGCCGGCGTCGTGTTTTTCTACCAAAAAATGTACTTTCCGATGGAGAAGTCCTTAAATTGAAAAGATTTATTAGTTACTTTCCGATGTACTATCCTATTTTTGTACAATTAAAGGCTAGGCGTTATATTCTGAGCATTCTTTCATCAAGGTAAGTGATGGAAAGATAACAAATACGGAAGGTTAGATTAGGAAAACATATCAAAGATGGAAACCCCAAAAGCCCAAACTCTATCACCAAGCTGATTCATAAAGCCATTTACCAAACATGTGTTTTAGCTAATTCGTCCGGATGAAACAGCTAATTTTTTCAAAACAGCCAAAAAAATGGTCGATCAGACATTCACCAAACAAAGCCAGTAAACATAAAACTCATAGAAAAAAAAACTTTGCCTGTAAGGTCGTTGTTGTTGGTCGATCAATGTATACAGTAAAGTATGACCGTTTCCAGCCCATTCCAAGCTAGCAACTCCATTGACCAGTGGCGGACCCACTAAGGGTCCTACGGGGTCCCGGGACCCCGTGGACCTCCAAAACAATACCTATATATATTTATATATTTGTAATATAAAATAAACTAAGTATTGTATATATACAAAAAAACAATAATTACACCCAAACGTTGAAGTAGTGGACCGGGAGCAAGTATGCACTTGATGCGTTACGTCCTGCGGGAGGTGTAGGGATCGATTCCCCTGATCACTTGATTTTTGCAACAACAGATTTTACACCCTTTTCTTATCATGCACCTCTTTGTAGCCCCAAATTTCAGCTTTTACTCTGTATGTTTATCATTCATTTGTCTGATTTTTGCAACAAGAGATTTTACACTTTTTTCTTATCATGCACCTCTTTGTAGCACCAAATTTCAGCTTTTACTCCGTATGTTTATCATTCATTTATCTGTGTCATTATATGAATGGGAACCTATTACCCAAAGTATAATTGTACAATACACAACCCTAACATATCTTTTATGTTAAACTAAGATTGAATTATTTTTCTACTGAATAAATTTATAGAAAAAGGCTGAAAAATATTTGGTGCGGCCAATTAAATATAAGTGTAAAACATCCAGACATTAAATCTAAATAAACATTTAACCTTTACATAATTAATGTGCGCCTTTATTCAAGAAAAATAAAGTTTATATTACATTTGTAAAAATAAGACAGGATTAAATTATCTTGAACTTTTAAAAGAATATTTTTCAAAATTCCAGATATACAATATCGGTGTCACATGAAAGATCAAACTAATTATTTACTTTGATATATTTTCTTACAAAACAGAGCACACATAAAAAGGTGTAATATTTTCAATAAAAAAAAATAGTTAGCCACATGTAATATCTTTCATTATGTACTTCAAAAAATGTACATTAATCATGGAACATTATGCTACTTTAATATTTCACTTCTTTTTTTATTAATTTTTTTTATTGATTAGAGTTACATTGGAGTAGGGACCCCGTGGCTCTGATTTTCTGGATCCGCCACTGCCATTGACATTAAGATTCGGAAGAATGTGTCCACTCTTAAGATCTTTAACTTGAAGTGTGAACTCCTCACTGCCACTAACATCAACTGTGTACGCTAGAAAATTGTGGTCAGGCGAGATTCGACATGTACCTACATGAACATATCCTGCAAGGTGTGTGCATATATATGTAAGAAAATTGGCGATGAGGAGAACCAGAGAGTACAGAATTGATATACCATAGTTTTCAGCTATCTCGTTCCAATCGAGCAATATCTCCGCTTTCTGTAAGACACTTGCTTTTTGAAGATGATTGGTTATCGTACTGATCCAACCTTTATTCTCATTAGCCAACTTCCTACACAAGACTGGAAACTCCTTCCCCTCTGGAATGTACTGAGAGTATAGCCTATATCATTCCATAAAACACTAAACATATAAAAAAGTTAATCAAAACCACACTAAAAAACTATACGTTCATAACATCATAATGATTAAACTAAAGGAAACCAACAATTCAATTAACATTGAATCTTCTTCTTATTTGTTGCAAATTATTTACGAAGGACTATTTACTTCAGGTCAGAAATGATCAGCTCCACTTGACCATTTCCCTGGATGAGAGAAATGTTTTACTCCGTATTTACACATGAAAAATATTATAACCAATGTACTTCACTCTTCCACCAAAAGTAGAATTACTTTCTCTAAAAAAAATTGCAACTTAGTTTCACTCTATAAAGTGATAAAACACTAAACATATAAAAAAAATCTAAACTACAATAAAACACTGTACATTCATAACATCATAATGGTTAAACTAAACTACTAAAGGAAACCAATAATTCAATTAACATCGAATCGCCTTCTTGTTTGTTGCAAATTACTTAATAAGGACTATTTACTTCAGGGCAGAATTGATCAGCTCCACTTGACCATTTCTCTGGATAAGAGAATTGTTTTACTGCGTATTTACACATGAAAAATATTATAACTGATATACTTCACTCTTCCACCAAAAGTAGAATAAGTTTCTCTAAAAAAAAATTGCAACTTATTTTTCTAGAGAACAAGAAAAGTTTTGGCCACAAAAGTAAACAAGAAAGCATTTTCTCTTCTTACCAGCTCAGGGATCTTGGAGGAGTAAATTAAAAAAAATGAAAAAAAAAAAAACATTTTCTCAAAACATATTTTTTTGGCAACCAAACATAGCCTAAATGATGTTTTATGAGCCACAAAATCCTAATTTGCGTACTTTGTTTACATTGTGCAAATAACTGTCGCAGGACTAAGTGATCACAAAGCCCTATAATTTTTCTTTCACTTTCAAGTTAAGAAAAGATGAACCTAGCCCTATATGTAAATCCTGATCACCTAGTCCCTCCATATGGAATGTACTACTTTTTTGTGCATTCCATGTCGAGGGACTAAGTGATCAGGATACACCCATATCTAGTATCAACTTGAGCAGATAAGCTTGGTGACCATAGGCCATTGAAGGGTAATTATAAATGTTTTAAAACCTTTTGTTTTCCCGGTGTGGGAAATTGTTAGACCTTCAATGTCCTTCATCGTTAGATACTTAGATACCATCTTAGTGACTTAGTCTTACTAAGATTAAGGATTGACAATTTTTTATAACGTGGAAGCAAAGGTAGCTTAGAATTTCAAATACATGAATTATGAAAAACGATAGAAACGCTGAAACAATGCCACCATGATAAGTAAGAAGCCTTGGAAAATAAATTATTAGAGTTGACTTGCTTCAAATATATATACCTTATAAAGTTGGACTACAGAGATTCACCGGAAAAAGGGGATTTTTATGGTTAATTTGTCTCACATGGTGGTTTTCAAGGTATCAAAAACAGTTAAAACACAGTGGGCAGGAAATTTGGGAGGGAGGAGATGAACAAACCAGGGACCCCATCGTTCAGGAGGGGTGGAAATTCTGGAAGGAATTCTAGAAACCATCTCAGTGTACAGAGTCCTCTGCATTTCTTGAGTATCCTCCATGAAAGCCTCGGCATATGCATTCTCTTGCTGGAGATAGCTAATGAAATCCGGGTCGTCCGTTTTGCGCATCCAGTGATACGGGTCGACCCAAGACTTCCCATGAGCAGAAACCGTGAAAGGAACCCTCTTGGCGGCTGGAGGAGTCTGAGCATAGGTTCGGCGGGGTTGCCGGCGGCGGAAGGTGGAGACTGGGAGTAAATGGGTCTTTGTGATTGACGCCGCCCTCGTTGCTCTCTGAACCATAGCCATGAAAACTGGAAAAAAAAAGGACGAGAGGCGGAGAAAATCTGAAAAAGAAGCATTTTTTCGATTAACGAAAAAACAAGAACTCAGAGATCCAAAAATGAAAACATACAAAATGTTGATGCCCAGGATCGAACTGGGGACCTTCAGTGTGTAAGACTGACGTGATAACCACTACACCACACCAACTCTTGTTCACTCTACGACGAATATACGTATTAATCTGCGTTACAAATCCGCAGAAGGATCTGTATTGCTCTCCATAACATGTCTTAAATAAATACAGTTTTTATTTTTAACAAAAGAAAAAACAGGAACTGTCCTAAATAGAAGTACAAATAATTTTAAATATTATACTTGTAATTATTGTCATGATTAAAAATGTTGTGTCAAAATATTATAGAATGATTTTAAGTTTATAGTAAATTCTTGTTATGTTATCCCTATTTAGGGGAAAGCGGAAAAATACAATAATCCTACTCTGTATTATGACAATTTTTTTAAAAGGACTATTATCATGCGTAAATATAAATAGCAATAAATATATAATCTATGAATCAACATCATAGAATACGAGCATATTTTATGTTATACGTAGTATAATTTCTTTTAGACAAGAAGTCACACTCGTCTATTTCAAACAGTAAAAATAGATTCAATTTCAAAATCTTTTGTACATGACGTCGAATATCATGCTATCACTTTAGACAGATTTCTTATTTGCAAATATTATCTTAGAATATATTTTTCCTATATTAAAACATGCACTACAACAAAAGAGACGTTTTGCAACACACGCAAAATGTTACATTATATACTTAAAGTGTTACGTAATAGCTTAAGCAACACTTTCACAAGTGCTACATCAGGTCTCGTTGCATAAAAGAATAAGTAACACTTTTTGTCATATTATGCAACATTCAACAAAATTGTTGCATAAATTACAAATATGCAACACTTTTTGGCAACACTTCAACGAGCACCTTTAGTAACACTTTTGAGAGTAAAATGCAACACTTTCAATAAGAGCTTAAGCAACGCTTATGCTTAACTTTTGCAACACAATTATTATATTCTTTGGCAACATTATCTATATGTAACGTAACACTTATACCAACATTATAGGCACTACTATGATAACATGGATCGTGCTATTAGCGACATTCTATCTGAGTATATAACATATTACTATAACTCATGATTACTATTAAATGATTGAGTTCCAGTGCTCCACCTTCATATATTATGCAACTTGTATATACTAAAATCTTAAAACTCTGTCAATATATATGAATATCTAATATATTAAAATAGTACAGAGTAATATATAAGAATATCTAATGTATCCAACACAACCTAAAATTTGTCCCAAAGGAAAATTTAAATTGATCACCATCAACATCACCAAGAGTTTGGCAGCAACCTAAAATTACTGAAAATTTTAACAAAAACACACTAAAATATGTAGATAACATCAACTAAAAGTCTTCCAATTGAAAAAAAAACATTAAACAACTACAACTTTTCAACTCTACACTCCAATATCAACATCTGGAATCATTGTAGCAAGTCATGATCGAAATATTCATTGTCTTTTTCGCAAGCTTCATGTTCCTTATGCATTTGTGCAAGTTTAAGAACATCTTTCTTGATAACTCTTCTTCCACACAACTTATTTCTTGCGTCTCATATATTATGCAACTTTCATGTTGTGTCTCAAAATTCTTCATTCAAACCTACAAAGAAAATTATACTTAAAACCAAGACAATTATGACCGAACCAAAATGGTCTTGGTGTTAATTTTAGTTCATTTTTCACAGCAGTACATACACATAGACATAATTGTATAAATGAAGATACATGTGGTTAAACCGAATTAATATGAAGGCCATAGTACCTGCAATCAAGCACCTATTGATACTGACGGAGAGATCATAAGTAGAAGCAACAATCATATTCACGGAATCACAGCCTGCCAAAAAGTAGTATTCAACATTGAAAAGTCTTGGTATAGAAGTGTTTCTGAAAATATCACTGTACAAAATAAATAATACTAGTGAGATGAGTAACAACATTTTACAGATTGATCATACAGTTTTCGCCGATTACCTTAGTATCGCAGATCTCTGCAAGGCCTCGTTTGCTTTCTGCTCACACATGGCGACCTTTTACGAAGCTCCTCCAGGAAATTTCATTTCTGATGAGAAGATATTCAAGCAGAAATGTGCCTAGCGTCACACCGTTGATAAAGGCACTGATCACAAGCAAGGGCCCAACTTGAGTGGATTATTTAGAAGACAATCTGGTGTCACTCTCGTTTACTCTGATGCGAACAAGACCAAGGCTATCTGCTGGGAAGAGAAAACGCTATATGATTACTTACTCAACTCTAATAAGTATATTCCCGGAACCAAGATGGTTTTCCCTGGATTGAAGAAACCTCAGGATCGGACAGATCTCATAGCTGTCCGCTGGGAAGAAAAAACACTATATGACTACTTGCTCAACCCTAAGAAGCATACTCCTGGAACCAAGATGGTTTTCTCTGGATTGAACAAACTTCAGGATCGGACAGATCTCAATGCTTATCTGAAGGAATCAACTGCTAGTAACAACATTAACTAAAATTAAGATTAAAAAAGCGTCTGTGATTAAAGAATAATATCAATTAACTGAAATTCAGATTAAAGAAGCACATGTGATTAAAGAATAATATCAATTAACTGAAATTAAGATTAAAGAAGCACCTGTGATTAAAGAATAATATTATTTAACTGAAATTAAGATTAAAGAAGCACCTGCGATTAAAGAATAATATTGTTGGGGTTTTTTCTTCAAAAATATTACTAAAATAATAGCCAGACCAAGTTACATATTCAAACTAATAGGCCCAAACTCATACGAAGAGGATGAAGACTTAGTCCAGATAATAGAATGACCCGATAAGAATAGCCAGACGGAGTTTCAAATAAAGGACGGATAGGGAGTACTAACTGTCTAACTGACTTCTGATCCCGATGGCAAGAGAGTAGAAATCGTTAGGAAGTTGGACATTTAGGCAATAACTCCAAATATAAAGAGAAGATGGGTAACAGTTGTAGCATACAATCTATGATATCAATACTTTATTATACAAAGTATTTATTCTACTTGGTGTCTTCGTTGTACTGCTTCATCATTAATACACCAGTTTATTCATATTTCCCTATTCTTGCACGTTCCCAAATTACTCCACAAACTGGTATACAGCTAAATTATTAAAGTAGTTTTTGGGTTAAAGCAAATAGGGAGTATAAAAAAAACAAAAAACAAATAGGAAGTATCAATTAACCTAAATTATCAAAACTATGGAAAATCACATACGTAGTATTACTAATTAAAAATTGAAGTTAAAACATTGAAGAAGCACATGTGATGAAGCAACCGAAGTATTAAGTAGCACCTGTGGGAACACCGTCGAACAAAAATTGACACAGTCGAACACTTTCAAACACTGTCGACAACCAGTGTATGACGATTGACACAGGATTAAGCAGCAACCAGTGATTCTGATTTGTTTTGGGAATTTTGTCGAACACTTTACAAGCAAGAAAGTTCTAGGTATTATTAATGAAACTTAATGTATGGAACATCAAAATTTCCGCAAATGAACCCAAAAAGATATCATGTACGCAACAAAGAGTTGTTCAAACATCAAAGCACGCTTATGGATATGAAAATGGATTCTGTACATGGGATAATAATACAAAATTTACTAACCCAGTCAAGGAATTGGTCCGACATTTTCCATCCTGCGGCTGGCGCTGACCGTTTTAGAAGAATCTCTCATCGAGATGAAACAGCTACGCTGGAAGATAAAACCCATCGAGTCTCAAATATGTTTTAAACTAAAAGTGTTCAATTAGCCCCTTATATAAAAGTTTTGCCCAGCCGTCGCTAATTCGGGCGGTTCCCGGTGGAATTGTTTGATAAAAATTTTTGAGCATCTTCTTACTTAAGTCTAGTTTACTCATACCAAATTTCAGCTAAAAATTCAACCGAGAAGGCAGTCAAATAATTTTCTGAAATGTACTGCGCTGTAACTTCGAGGTTATCTTCAAAAAATCATTTGACTGCCTTCCCGGTTGAATTTTTAGCTGAAATTTAGTATGAGTTAACTAGACTTAATTAAGAAGATGCTCAAAAAAATTCATCAAAAAATTCCACCGGGAACCGCCCCAATTGGCGACGGCCGGGCAAAACCTCCTATATAAGAGGCTAATTGAACACTTTAAGTCAATTCAAGTGCCTATTTGACCTTTAGCCGTCAAATGAGTGCTGAAAATCGGCTGTTTTGAAAATCGTTTGGTATCATTGATTGATTCTACTAATTTAAGAAAAAAAATAAAATATATTTTATTAATAAAATAAAGCAAAAAATTATATGTAAAAATAGCTAAAATGGTCGTATGCAGTAACTTCAGCCAATACAGCCAGAAAAGTAACTCTGGCCTTACTTTTTTTTCTATTACACAATTCAGTGCGCGAACGCACTGAATTGGCTGATAAGCCTGATAAGCCGAAATAGTGCTGCCAAACGGGCTCTTAAAATAAAATTGTACTCCGTATTTCTCTGTTTTCATCGGTTACGTTAGACGGTTTATTTAATTTGTTAATTTTTTATTTGGCCTTGTATTATTAGCAAGCATGTAGAGGTGTATAAGGAATACAAATATTTTAGCAAGGATTAAATTATAGTAGTATAAACGTAATATATACACTCAAACATATAGCAACACTCTTCAACAATGTTACATAAATATGGATAGCAAATTCGCAATTATGCTTAATGCAACGCATTTTAAATAATGTTACGTAATCGCTAATAATATGCAATACTTTTTAGTAAGTGTTGCATAATTATATACTTCTTGTGTATATGTAACATTGAGAAATAAGTGTTGCAGATTTCTAACTCAAAAGGTTATATGCAACAATAAATTAAGTGTTGCAAACAAAATGTTACATAAAGCCTATTTTGTTGTAGTGATGTATCAATTTGTTTTTTTCCTTCTTTGGCTTGGATGGTTTGATAACATGTATCAATTTGGAATTTCTAATAAGCTTGATTACAATTTTTTAGAGTATATCTAATAGCTTATGTAATCTTATGTCATATTTCTTGATTATTTTTTATTATTGACATCATATGCAAATTGCAAATACGAGCATTAGAGATGAACCTCATATCAAACTAGTAGAAAAGTTTGAAAATTAATGAGTATCAATGTATGAACGAATCTTCTACACATATGTCAATTGTAACATATTAAAGACTAATAAGAATGTACAATGTTTACAATATAGTAAAAATTATGATATTGTTGCCCCGAGTTTATTTTATTTAAAAAGAACATTAACACAACTATTTAAACATGGTCCTGTAAAATTTAAAAAACACATAGAATATAATTTTTGTATGCGCT